GGTTCAAACCCCGGTCCAGGGGCCTTTCTGGGTGGAGCTTGCATGTTCTCTCCGTGCATGCGTGGGTTTTCTCCAGGTACTCCGGTTTCCTCCCACAGTCCAAAAACATGCATGTTAGGCTGATTGGTAACTCTAAATTGTTCCTAGGTGTGAGTGAGAGAGTGAATGGTTGTTTGTCTCTTTTGTCTCCATGTGTCTCTGTATTGGACTTGCGACCTGTCCAGGGTGTACCCCGCCCCTCGCACAGTGATTGCTGGACATGGGCACCGGCGACCCCCGTGACCCAAAATGGAAGAAGCGGGTAAAAGATAATGGATGGATGTTAAACATCTACGTTTACCGACATTAGTAAACACTTTATTCAATAACTATTTTAGAGAGCTCGGCACAACAAGAAGTAGCGCTAAGCTAGCGGCGTGCAGTCCGGATACGCTAGCTAAGATGCTACAGACGCGACGCTCTGCCTTACATCACACAACCTAATAAACGCTTTGTACAAAATCAGTTTGGTGTTAACCAATTTTGTTGCATTGAATCATAAAGGCAAGAACCCAAACCCAGAACCGCCAAAAATAAATAAATAAATAAATAAAATTTACTTTTTATTTTTCTGGGTTGCTGAGTTAAAATTTAGGGGGTGCTTGAGCAGCCCCAAAAAGAGGCTAAAATCTCCACTGTCAGTAAATTATAACACCTTTTCTGGTATTGTGCCACGACTAAAACACTTTTAGTTTATCAGATAAAAACTCTCACCCTTACTGCGCCTATATTAGGGAGTAAATGTGCTGCTTCTGTAACTCGAACACCGGTGGTTCGCCATACTTTGGAAACTCACCAGTTAGCTTAATTATCCTGGAAATAGTACGTTACAGTCACTTACTATGAATTTTAAATCTGATACTTTAATGATTCTAAATCCTCAGAGGTTTTCAGGGTCATTTTTCTGAGCCGTAATTCCTCGTCTTCCTGCCCGTCAGGAGGATATGCGATATTTGGCTGCGGAGCGAGGGGAGTGTTGACAAGATGGATAAAAGCTAAAGAGGTTTAAGCTGGTGGATGTGAATATTGCTGCCATTGTCAGGATAAATAAACACTTAACAGCTGAAGTTGGTATGAAGCCTCGTGCTTGTATCAGCTCACTGTCGCTCTTCATGCCAAACATTGACTCTCTGAAAATCTGGCATCTATAAAGTCCCCAGCCGAACTAACCTGAGGGCCTACATTTCAAAAACTTCAATTTAAGTGACGACACCTGAAAGTGGGATGTGATGTTTTGTGTTTAAATGCGGTGGATGTCATTGGAGCCCTTATCTTTTCTGGGGGGCTTGATACGTGCAGCCTGATCCAGTTACCTCCAAACTCTGCTGGAGCAACTGAGACCATTGCAGGAAAAGGCAAGCGAGTAAACACAACATGGAAACGATCCAAACCCAGCATCTAAATTTAAATGGACTTTTTGTCATGAATATACCTCACAACAATATGTGAGCATAAGAACAACAACAAAAAAAAAGCTGGGTAATTTACCTCAGACAGGCATTTTGAGCATAAATTAAAGGACTCATATTGAGGGTACATGTCATCTACAGTAAATATGTAGGGATTTATTTTATGACTTATTATTCTCTGTTCTATTCTGGTCTGATTTACCTACACCGACGACGACCGGTCTAATGTAGGTCAAGGCTCAATCTTCCACGTAGTTTGGTTCAACCGACTGCTTTGTTTACACTGAGTGCATACCCACATTTTAAAAACTCAATATATCTGTAAAACTGCTGGAGTGAACTCTTTCAGGGTAGCCTTTTTTAACTCGATTTCAGACTTTGCAACAAGAAACTCTAAGTGATATTTGTTGAATTACCACAGTTTATTTTGATATTAATTCAGGTTATTCTTCCACAGTTTCCTTTATCGATTTAAGGGAATTGTTTAGTGGGCAGATCAGATTTTAAACCTTTGATTTATTAGATTCACAGAGATAATAATGGAATTAGCTTGTCCTTTATTTGCAGTATGTACTAAAACTGTAACTGCATTTTTTTTTTTTAAACAAACTCCTGACCATGAGTGGTCTAATAATGTTAGTGTTTTGGACATGATTTTAATGCGACACACACATTCCACCCCTTCCTGCCAAGATGCTGCCAAACTAAACACAAATCAGACGCTGGTTCTGGTTTAACAACCCCCTCCCAATTGACCCTGTGAGTATTTATAAACAACCTCATTAAAAAAATGATGCAATATCAGATTGACATGAAATATTTGGGCTAATTTGAGTCCAGTTACTTAGACTGTTGCTAGTGTTTTCATAGTTTAGAAGAGATGGTGTGTTTAAAGTAAGAAATTAGTTTTAATGGTCCACCAGCTGCTTTGGACCACCTGCAGGACAGTCCTGAAGTCTCACCACATTCCCTTCGTTCCCTGCTTCCAGTTGGCTCCCTGTTTGAGTCATTTTTGTTTATGTGGTTGAAACGTTGGGCCCTCTGCTCTCGTATCAGGCGTATATGAGCGCAGCTCTAAAAATACCCCCGTGTCCTTGTGCTGATGATGGGTGTGTCCTGCTGGATGCTGAGGGTCTTTTTATCCTCGGAGTTGTGGGGTGTCCAGACGCACCGGGGCTCCTCTGGAGAACTGTTACAGGAATTAAAGCTCCCAGGTAAGACACCTGAGAAATATTAAAGGATTCTGGACTGAGTTTAAAACAATCTGTGCTCTGCGCTGATTTTGAAGTGTGTCGTTTTATCTCGTTTTGATGTTTTGCACTGTAAAAAGCGTGCCCTCTTCTTACTACGACAACGACGTTACCACACGTAAAGTTTATAAACTGTACGCATTTCTCCGATTTATTCACACAGACCTAACTTAATTCATATGGAAGAAATGATTTGCATGAGAGGTGACGTGGAGGATGAAGAGGAGCAAGAAGATGGGTTGGAGGAAGACAAAAAGAGAGAAAAGGGTAATTTAAATCACTTTGGTTCAAAGTTTTGATTTGAGCTTCTTAGTTTTAAAGAATTTGATTTTTATATGTTTCACAGACGAATCGGCTGCGGGGAAGAAACAAAAACCGTCCTCCTGGGCTCCATGTTTTTACTCCAAAGCTGGAAAAGAGGTTTACAGCTATGCTGGTCATAAGATCACCATCGAGGAGGGTTTGGACTTCTATGCAGGCATGATATGGCCCGCGGTGAGTGGCGCCGTTTGGTCTCAAACCTTCTTTTATCGTAAACTCTTTCTTTACCATCAGCGACCAAAGCAAAGGTCCAGATCTGCCAATGCATATCCCACTCCATCCTATCATCACTTGTTAACAAGACAGATACTTAAAATTCTCCACGAGGCAAAGACCCCCCACCTCCACCTCCTCTGGGTCAGGGCAAAAATGTTGAGAAATAAGGAAACTTATGTAGCCATTTAGGACAAACCTTGAAATTAACATTATCCTGGATCCAACACAGTTCAGTCAGGTCATCTGGACTGTTTCTTTTTTTTTATTTGTTGAGACGTTTCATCTTTCATCCAAAGGACTTCATCAGTCTGAGGAGCCACAACAAACTCAGTCCCACAAGCAGCACATTCACATAGTGGACCAACCAGTTTGCTGGTGATAAGATGGTTTCTGTAGTCTGTCTTCTCCCCTGTCGACTCCTCTGAGGCAGCCATAGCCAAAGTGGTTCAAAACATCAAAGTTCAATCTCAATAATCCAGGTAAAAAATCCAACAAAGTTCAGTCAGGTCATCTGAGTCGACGGGGGAGAGGGCGGGCCCCAGAAACCAGCTTATCACCAGCGAACTGATTGGTCCACTATGTGAGTGTGCTGCTTGTGGGACTGAGTTTGTTGTGGCTCCTTGAACTGATGAAGTCCTTTGGATGAAGGATGAAACGTCTCAACAAATTTTAAAAAAAGAAACCGTCCAGATGACCTGACTGAACTTTGTTGGATTTTTTTACCTGGATTATTGAGCATGAACTTTGATTATACTGGATACATCTTGTGTGAACAGGTAGAGCTCTGAAAATGTGATGTGTATGCCCCTCAGCTACTACCACACCAAATCTGAGCTCAGTCTCTATAAAATTGACTGAGTTATACCCATTTTTATGTTTGCTAACGTCAGGCTACGTCGGCCATCTTGAATCTGTCTGACTCTGAAAGTAAATAAGTTGTCGTCGAACATTTGATCATTCTTCTAAACGTTGTGTTAAAACCAGTCTGGTGGGTCACGAGGTGTTTCGATGTCATGTGAAACCTGACTGCAGCTGTAATGATGTCGCCCTCAGGCTCTGGCTCTCTGTCACTACCTCGACACTCATCAGGACGAGTGGAGTCTTGTAGACAAAGCCGTCCTTGAGATTGGAGCAGGAACTGGACTTCTGTCTATCGTTGCGGCGCTCCTCGGTGTGTAAAGTGGGCACAGATTTTCCCTCACAGCGGTGACCAGTTGTGACTGGTTTCTGTCTGTTTTCAGGAGGCTGGGTCACAGCTACCGACCTCCCAGAAGTCCTGAACAACACGAGGGTCAACTTGTGCAGGAACACCAGGGGCTGCTGCAGACACCCTCCGCAGGTGGCAGCTCTGTCCTGGAGCCACGACCTGGAGCACACCTACCCCTCTTCCGTCTACAGGTACGACTACGTGCTGGCTGCTGACGTGGTCTACCACCATGACTTCTTGGACGAGCTCCTGGCCACCATGAAGCACTTCTGCAGGCCAGGAACGACCCTGATCTGGGCCAACAAGGTCAGACTTGAGTCCGATCTGGTCTTCACAGAGAACTTCCACAAGGCCTTCCACACAAGTATACTGGCTGAGGACGGAGATATGAAGATCTTCATGGCAACTTGTGGAGAAGGAAAAGACGAGGAGCTGGAAAATGCATATCTACTGGGACAGGTGGAGGAAGAACCAACAAAGGAGGAGGAGCTAAAACACAAAGATGACGAACTTCACGGCGCCCTTCAGGAGAAGGAATCTGACGAGTTGGAAGCTGAGAGCAGAGACGAAGAGGAAGAAAAGAGCGAGACTGACAGTGACGAAGAGGAAGATTCAGAAAGAAGTTCGGCTCTCAAAGATGATGGTGCTGAAGATAAAACAGATGAACGAAAGGACAAAAACACAAAAGGTGAGATCTCACATGATTTGTTAGAGCTTGGAGTCAGTGTTGTGAATGACTTTTAGCTACTACCACACCAAACTTCAGCTGATTATAAAATTCACTGAGGTATAACCATTTTTGTTAATTGATTAGCCGTGGGGGTCATCTTATTGATAATAATTATCTCATGAAACAATTTATCTGTTTGTAAATAGGTCTATGTGCTATTTTAACCCTTAGTATATCAAAATGTTCAGCTAAATCAGAATACGACTATGACTTTGATTATTGTTATGACGTTTGTTTTTCGTAATTATTATATTTTTCTAAATGTTTAACTTCAAGAAATACAATGAGACCTTTTCAGTCCCTTGACAAACATTGTTCTCTTTAAAACCTGCTTCAGTAAACTGGTTCTGTTTTTGCTTTTTTTGTGCTACTTTTGGTTTTTAGTTCGTCTTTTGCCACTTTTATCTAATAGCAATTATTCTGCTACTTTTAGCTTTTAGCCAACCATAAGTTTCTAGCTAATCTTTTGCTACTAGGTTTTTGCTACTGTTTTGCTACTTTTAGCTATTATTCTGCAAGAGCAAGCCTTTTGCTTTTATTGCTTCTATAACTTTTAGCTTTTAGCTATCATTATGCTACTTTTAGTTATTTTTTCTACATTTAGCTTCCAGCTGGTCTTTTGATATTTTCAGCCTTTAGCTAAGTATTTGGTGCTTTTAACTAGCATTTTGCTATTTTAAGCTATTAGAAATTGTACAGCTTTTGGTTTTTAGCTAGTGATTTTTCACTTTCAACTTTAAGCTTGCATTTTGTAATAATAATAATAATAATTATTATTATTATTCAGCTTGTTTTGCACCTTTTAGCTAGTGTTCCACATATTTTAAGTTGTAGCCAGTGTTGTGCTGCTTCTGGAGTTTATCTTGTTTTTTGTTTGTTTATTTTTTTTTATTCTTTTAGCTATGTTTTTGCTCCTTTAAACCTTTAGCTAACATTTCTTCTCATTTAGCGTTTATCTAGTGTCCTGCTCTTTTTAGCTTTAATAACTCAGTATTAGATTCTTCACCAAATTTCAGCAACATTTCAGCTCTAAACATTCACAAAAATGCAATTTCTCCATAATTAATATCAAGATGTTGATTTATGACCTTTAATATTTTTGTATGTTGCTCCTCTTTAGCTTTCTGGCTGTGCTGAAATACAGTACAGTAGTCCCTCGCTACTTTGCGGTTCGTTGCGGTTCAACTTTCATGGACTCGCTCTGTCGTGGTTTTTCTAAGTAAAATTGGACATGACACACAACTGGCTGATTGATGGATTAGCTGCACGAGTGGTATGGATTGTTTATTTAAAGTTAATTATTTTAAATGATTTAGCACCTGTTGCACCTTTGTGCATCCCACAGCTGCAGGAGAAGCTCCCTCCTGTAGCATGCCATGATCTCCACTCTCTGCCACGCCCACTTCTCCACTGCAGTCACACTCATCACCTGTCACTCCCAATCTCCCTCCTTCTGTGTAAATTAACAATTTAAATTTAAATACTGTAACAGTCTAAATAAACAATCCATGCTGCATGAGCAGCAATGTTTATTTTAAATAATCCAGCACGAGCGGAACCGAACCTTTAGTCACACTCGGCGAACGGCCAGGCCACCGGGAAATGTCCCAGTGCTCCCAATGACCAGTCCGCCAACCTGCAGGTGCTAAATCATTTAAAATAATATATTTTACCCCGAAAAGGTAGAAGCAGGTAAAGATAATTGATAGATGGATTTAGCACCTGCGCTGCGCTTTTATTCTTTTAAATTTTTTGTGCGTTGCTGCCCAGTGTCTGCAGATTGTCTGATCGCCATCCAGTGTTTATGCTCCTGCTCTGACCCATTTAATGTCTGCTCTGCCGTCAGACCACCGATTCCAGCTAAAACCCTCTGATAGCTTTTGCATTTTCTGCCTTTGTGAATGACCCATGCCTGTATTTGTGACCACAAACTCAGACCCCGGACTCGAGACATTCAGCTCTCAGAACCAAGCTCCACATTCTGAAGAGAGTGCTTGTCGGACTTTCGCTCACATATGAGTGATCTGTCCAAACCTCCTTTCCCTCTGACATCATCGCAGCTTCACCTTTTCACCTGTGATCGAGTCCTACAGAGTGACAGCTGACTTTCTCCCCCTGATAAAACGGAGGAGGAAGACTTCCAGGCCGGTGGCTTGGCCGTTCGTCGAGGGCGACTAAAGGCTCGGTTCCAGTCGCGCTTGATTATTTAAAATGAACAACGCTGCTCATGCAGCATGGATTGTTTATTTAAACTATTACAGTATTTAAATTTAAATTGTTTATTTACACAGAAGGAGGGAGTTTGGGAGTGACAGCGGAGAAGTGGGCGTGGCTGAGAGCAGCAGGCGGCTGAGAGCGGAAATCATGACATGCTGTCTCTTTTAGAGCGTTTAGAAGATTAAGAACATTGCAAGAGTGTGGGAAGAGTTCATAAATCCTTAATATATACATAAATACTAAAATAAATATAACGCCACTACTTTGTGGAGTTTCACTTAATGTGGGCGGGTTCAGAACCGAACCCCCGCAATAAACGAGGGATACTTTATGCTTTTTTCTTTCCACAGAAGAGATGTGTGTGAAAGAGAAATGGGCCCCCAGCATCCTTTACAGCACCACTAAAGACATCTACAATTACGTCGGCGAGGATATTGTCATTTATGAATCCATAGACTCGTACGGGGCCATGATGTGGCCAGCTGTGAGTATTTCTGAGAACAGTCTAAAGTGTCGTACAGCCTCTCAGTAATTTGTTCCTGTCTGGTTTTCTGTGACCTGCAGGCGTTGGCTTTATGCTCCTTCCTGGAAAACAACTGGCACACCTTCGACCTGCGTGAGAAGCAGGTTCTGGAACTGGGAGCGGGAACTGGACTGGTAGCCATTGTGGCCAGTCTGCTGGGTGAGCTGTCAGCACCACTCTGCGGCACACAACCTGACAGAGCAAGAAGCAATTATGACAAAAAACATTTCACGGCTTGTACTTTTTGTCAGATTTGTGACATTACGAGGAAAATTACATGGAAAAGGGCCATAAAATACAACAAAACACATCAACATTTGCTATTTATTAAAATAACTAATCATGATGTAGCCCAGTCAGTTGCTTATTAAGACACTTCTGTTTTTTCTTTTAGGCGCTTCGGTCACAGCTACAGACCTCCCAGAGATGCTGAGCAACCTCCAAGCCAATGTGATGAGGAACACTAGGGGCCGCTGCAGACACCTACCCAAGGTGGCAGCTCTGTCTTGGAGCCACGACCTGGAGCACACCTACCCCTCTTCCGTCTACAGGTACGACTACGTGCTGGCTGCTGACGTGGTCTACCACCATGACTTCCGGGACGAGCTCCTGGCCACCATGAAGCACTTCTGCAGGCCAGGAACGACCGTGATCTGGGCCAACAAGGTCAGACTTGAGTCCGATCTGGTCTTCACAGAGAACTTCCACAAGGCCTTCCACACAAGATTACTGTCTGAGGATGGAGATATGAAGATCTTCATGGGAACTAGTAGAGAAGGAGGGGATATAACAGACTGAATCACAGGCTGCAGGGTCACGGACTAAAGGCCTCGACTGCTGGAGGAGACTTTTTCATGTCTTTTCTTTTTACATTTCATTTGAAGTGTTGAGCAAAGTTTACTTGTTCTCAGTGGTGCCATCATTATTGGCTCTTTTTTACCTTCATAATTTTCTGTAATCGCACAAGACCTGACTGGGGCTGCTGTCCTCAGAGGAATACATATCGCCCGTCGCTTTTAGACTAAGATCATCTTAAGAAACGAGAGAGTTGTCGCCGTTTCGGTCAAACCTTGCGCAATCTCATGCCATATCAGGAGATGTCGGGCTCAGAGAATGTGAATGAATCTCAGCTACTACCACACCAAATTTTACTACATTGTCTGTAAAGCTGATTTGGTTGTAGCCATTTTTGTGTTGGCTATTGTGGTTTAGCTGTAGCGGCCATCTTGATCTGGATTGACTTCAAAGATAAATCATTTGTAGATGAGCATCCAGTGATTATCTTGTTTCATTAGTATCCATTCACTGATTCAGAAAATGTTTTGCTAACAGAGATGTTTCCAGTAGATGGTAAAGTCCTCAATGTATGTTTTGGGTGTGACTCTCAGCTGCTACCGCCCCAACTTTGAGCTCAGTCTCTGTAAAAACAACTCAATAAGAAAATTCCTGTGTTTGGTGGCGGCCATCTTGAATCATGCTGGCTCTAATTGTTCATCATTTGCAGGTGTGCAATGAAAGATTTATAACTGGGGATTATCTCTATAAGTCATCTGATTCATGAGATATTTTGCTGACAGACAAGCACATGTGGGCAAAAACACGATCGCCTTTTAGTGGCGCAGTAATAATGTTGGTTTACTGGGTTTCCTCAAATGTGACTTTGTGTTTTTATTTACATAGAAAGAAAACAGACAATGCATTACAAAAAAGGCAGCTTTTTATTTTATATCTTTTTTAAGCATAAATACTTGGTGGTTTCTTGCTATTTGTTTAATTTGTTTAACAGAACAATGTAAAATTTGCAAATTCTAACCTCGTCTTACAAAGTTTGCATCACTTTGGTATAAATCATGTGCAAGAAGTTACAAGTTGTTTCACATCTTTTAATTCTGTGTACTTTCTCTGTTTTGTGATTATTATTTTTTTTTTGTGAGCACAGAATAGTTTTATCAGCAGCTCAGATCTTGGTGAACGAGGACGGATATAAAATAAAGAGAATGCAACCTAAACATTCTTTAAAGCGTGAGCTTCTATGACTTTAAATATATCCACACACCGTCCGCACAAACATTTCTGAAATCTTTTCCTGACGGCAGCGGAGTGACAGCAGCAGATACAAGACGTCTGTTCAGTGTCAGAGGTCAAAGGTTGAGCCTCGTGGCGAACATTAAGGCCATTTTTAGAGCCCATCATTGACAAGTGCTGCAGCAGCACGTTAAACCAAAGACCAGGGGGGAAAAAAACACAATTTTGCACTTGAGAGCCTTGAAAAAAAGATAAAGCGTAACAAAAATAAAGATTTGCGTCACTGATTAACCCCAGACAACAATTTTTAATCTCTAGAAGACAGAAAACAGCACTTTTTAAATTCTGAGGTTTCGACCGTTCGCGAACTAAAACCAGAAATCTTTACTGGTTCAAAGAGAAAAATCCTTTTTATTTTCTCTTGACGAGGAAAATCTCTGGTTAAAGGTACTCGTTACAAAATATGGAATTAAAAAAAAAAAGTTATGAACTATGTCAGAGGGTGCAGATTGAAAGTTTACTCCAGTAGTTTTCCAGATGTGATTCTGTAACGTGGGTGCACTCAAGGTGAACGCTTCATCCGTATCTTTACTCAACAAATTGGAGCGTACCATGGTACAAAAACAAATCTATGTTGATGTTTTTTCTTTGTCGTTTGTCCTACAGGGCAGCCTGGAGTCATCTGTAAAATCTACCAGTATACATCCATCATCTTTACCCGCTTCTTCCTTTCTGGGTCATGGGGCGGTCACTGGTGTCCATATTCAGCAGTCACTGTTCAAGAGGCGGGGGACACCTCGGACAGGTCCCCAGTCCATGACAGGGACACTTAAACAACCATTCACTCTCTCACTCACACCTAGAGACAATTTAGAGTCACCAATCAGCCTAACATGCATGTTTTTGGTCTGTGGGAGGAAACCGGAGTACCTGGAGAAAACACGCACATGCACAGAGAGAGCAGGCCCCAGGCCGGGGTATGATCCGGTAACCTTCTCTACTAACTGAGCCAATAATAAACTTTAAAAAAAAAATAATGAAAACAATAATTTTAATGATTCAAAAGAAAATAGATAAAAAAAAACAAGCTCCGTATTACCTTTTTGGAAAAATGAGTGTTCTGTGCCACGTTTGTAAGGTCAAAGGTTATGCTGATAATGGCTTTCTGTTTGATTTAGAATTGATTTTTAAGCTTATTGATGACATAAAATGCCCTGAATGGACAATTTCCTGAAGATGCGTCTGACCTGCAACTGCATGTGTCCTCCAGATCCTTCAGACCAGGACTATTCAACAGAACTGCTCAGGGGGCCACAGTTCCTGAAAGCCAACAGCTCAGGGGCCGGACATCCAGAAAATCATTACGTAAATAAAACAAAGTTTACAATTATCTGTTAACTTTTAAATTTATTGTATTGCATTGAATCATAAATGCAATAAACAGAAGCCAAAACCCAAAACCCTCCCCAATACAATAAATAAATAATTATTTAATGAAGTGGGCTGGATTGCAGTCACCCGCGGGCGCCAGTTGAATAGCCCTGACCATTTGATTCAAGTGGTCCAGAGGTCCAAGCTGGTCCACAGAGGTGACCAGGTCTCCAGTTGTCCCGTAGAACCAGCTGTTCAGATCAGACAGACCTGAACTTTTGGTGTTTTGAAATATCACCCCTGGATTTAACACAGTTGATGTTTTGCTTCATTTGTATGTTTTCTCCGTTTTGTGAAAAATTTAACAGTTTTTTTGTGTGTTTGTCATATTATTTTTTTACCATTTATTTTTTGTGACTAGCCACTGGCAGTTTTTAAAAACGGCATTTAAATAAATCTAGATAGATTTTTGTCCCAAAAATAAGTTTACAACAAAGGTTGAGGATTGTGAAAATAGGGTAATGTTTTAATTCTGCAGCCCTCGTTTGTTACATGATTCAGGAGAGAAATGTTCAAAAGGACCAAACCAGAATTTGTGAAAGTTTAAGCAAACAAAACATGAGCAAATAAAACATTTATTGCAAATAATCTTTCAATAGATGTGGATATTGCCCTTAGTATACATATCCAGTATATAAAAACTAACCCTTTCACGGAAAAGTGCAACAAAAGTCCCAAATATCACAAAACACAATAAATGTGATGTAAAGTTCATGTGATTTGCAGTAAATCAAATTAACAATAATTCCACTGGTGCAGTCCGTTAAAAGCGGTTTAATGCCCGTCTAAATGGCTTGTTTTTTAGTTTTAGGGTGCAACGTTCGAGATATGCTCACAGGTGCACGTAAAGTCATGAAAACATCAGTGGATCTTCTCTGAATCAACGTTTCTGGTGTAAAAACTGGCAAACTAAACTCCGTTTCCACATAAAATTAGTTTTCCTCACAATTTAGATCATAGAAGACATGCATATATGCAAAACACATGGATTAAGACAACACCTGTGTTATATTGCATCTTAATATTTTGTGTATTTACAATATTTTATGACACTTTGTGCAGCATTCAAAATGCTGCTCATAAAATATTTGATATTTTGAGTGAATCATGAGAAATCTGCTCTGAACTTCCTGCTGCTGCTCACAAACCGCATCGTCATGTTAGCGAGTTGGGGTAAAAAGGTCGTAGAGGTGGTTTCTCATCAGGCTGCCACTGTTCAGGGCGACTTTATGGCTCAAAATTGCAAGAAAATAGGCAATTTTTTTGTTGCGGTCTCACTGAATTACAAATGTTAGTGACCAGGAAGCTGCGCGGGTACATTTTCCAAGACAAACTATATCAAACAAATTGTTTGAACAAACTTACTCCAGCAGTTTTACTGATATATTCGATATGCAATTCTAAAATGGGAGTATGGACTCAACGTAAACAAAGCACTTGGCTGAATCTGCTCAAAAGACTCGAGTCACACAATTAACCTCCATCAAGTGCATCATTGGTAAACAAATGGAGTAAAATCAGACTTGTAGAAGTTCAGAAAACACATTAAGGCGGAAATACAAAAGTGAATTTGTAGATAACAGCAAACAGAAAGACCGAGTTAGACAACTTTCAATAATACCGTATTTTCCAGCGTATAAGTCGCATCAGTAAAAAAAAAAGCATCACGAAGAGGGAAAAAAACATAATTAAATCGTTTCAGTGTATAAGTCGCATTTATTATGCATCACCGCTGACCCGTTGCGTTTATTATGAGTTTATTTAATGGTCAAAACAGCTTCATTTCGCCTGGGCGGCACCCTCCATCCATTCATTGGGGCCGGAGCTGCTAGCTCGCCAGCGTTGCTCCACTTGCACCAGCTGAGTGAAGCGAGAGTGCACGGGAGGACTCGCTGTTGCAGTTCTTCAAAATTTAAAGCGTCAGTCAAAAATTGCGTTATGAATACGAAAGAAGAAAAAAAAAGGTATATAATTCACTTTGGGGTATAAGTCGCAGGACTGATAAATCTATGTAAAAAAAAAAAACTATGACTTATACGCCGAAAAATACGGTAAATACCAATGATCAAGGTGGAGCAGCATCAACATCGAGCTCAGCGTTCAAACACTCGCGTTTTGTGCCAAACTTCTGCTAGACCGGTAAGTTTACCATTTCAAAGCCTTTTCACTTCGAGTCTAACGCCAACAAACTTTACTCAACAAATGTGCACATAGGATGTACTAATGCATCAAACCGGTTTGATTCCTTGATCCCAAACGGTTTCGTGAATGTTGCCATCGTTGACATATTTTCAGTCACTTCAGGTGTTTTCACAGGTAAACAAATGAACACAGAAGATGGCGGCTGGTCACAAATTTTTGCTTATCAATCCTAAATTTAAAGACACATTAACCATAGATAATATAAAAAAAAGTGAATTTTTGTTATTTTGTTCAGCTTTTTTGGAGGATTCTTCATAACAAGTACCTTTAATCTACTGGAGTACACTTTTAAAATGAAAAT